GCTCGATGGCAGTGAATTTGTTGTTCCCTTTTTAGACTATAGCTATTGCGGAGTAAAACCATCAGGTTGCAGAATATTATGTTTAAATCCATACGGATACCTAAAACGAGACCAAAGTGTTTATAAAATAATGAACAAAATATGTGTGTAAGAGCCCCCAATAAAAGGATTAAAACCCAGCTGTCTAGCCTTAGAGCCCGAGGGCGGCTCCCCTCCGCCCTGCAGGCGCCATGAGGGGAGAGTAAGAACAGGCCTGAGGGCAGCGGGTTCGGCTTGGGCTTGAGGCCCAGGACTGCTGGCTCTGGAGCCTCGCATGACGGCTCGTTGCTGCCATCCAGGTCTCTGGGAGGCCTTTTCTGACCCAATCTAACCAGGTCCTCCTCCGACTTTTTATGAACTCTTCATTGTTTTCTTTTGCCCAGAATCTTTCCTTTCTCAAAATGTTCCACCATTTCCCAGCCAGCAGGCCAACTTTGGGGCTGGGCCCAACCCAAAGCAGGGATAAAAACTCCTGATGAGTCCTCTGCATATATGTGAGTCCCCTTTCCTCTCCCCGGAGACAGCAGCCCTTGTTTCCTTTGGTGGCCCCAGCTGCTACCACTCAATGCAGGGTATATGCCAGGGCCCAGCCTCCATGTGGGCACAGGCACACTTTCTAGGGAAGACAGAAGTCACCCAGGGTTGAGAGCCTGCTCAATCACTCTTGGCACAATGTTTGGACAGAAGCAGCAAGAATAAATAGACACAGCCAAGGGGAACATGTATATTTAAAATTCCTCCCCTTCATTTTCTTCTTCAAACGAATCAGTCCCCACTTCTTCATAATCCTTCTCCAGGGCAGCCAGGTCCTCCCTGGCCTCAGAAAATTCTCCTTCTTCCATTCCCTCTCCAACATACCAATGCACAAAGGCCCGCTTGGCATACATCAAGTCAAACTTGTGGTCCAGGCGGGCCCAGGCCTCCGCGATCGCCGTGGTGTTGCTCAGCATGCAAACAGCCCGCTGGACTTTGGCCAGGTCCCCTCCGGGCACCACGGTAGGTGGCTGATAGTTGATGCCCACCTGAGGAACAGAGAAAAGGGGAAGAGCAACAGAGGGTGATTCAAGTGAGTCAAGGAAGAGCTGGGCTCCTCGAGACAAGGTGCCGTGGTCCCGGGAGCGTCGTAGCGAGGCACGGTCCTGAGTGCAGAGTGGGACGAATGGACAAGAGGTGAAAAGTGGGAATCAGGAGGCTGGGGAAGCAGGCAGGCCAAGAGGGGTGAATTTGAAGGAAAAATACAGTTAGTGGGATTGAGTTCTAGCAAATTCAAGGTTCAAGATCCAAGAATTGAAAAGCTAGTGAGGTAAAAGGGGAGAACAGGACTGGGAATGGGTAGAGATGCCAGTGCGGTGCCTCCAGGACTCAAGTCAAGGTGACAACTGGTCTGATTGTGGCAGAGCTGCACAGCAAATGCGTGTGTCTTAGAAGGAAACCCATGCCATTGGAGGCAAATTAGTTTTTAGACTCGATGTTACCATCAAGCTTATTATTTCCCATGATGGTGATCTTCTGAAGTTCTTTTTTAGTTTTGCTGACAAAAAATTTAAGGAAATTCCCTGGCAAGGGTGGGGGTTATTTAAAAGGGTGTGGGGTATTTCCAAAGCACTAAATAGGTCTTGGAAATGGTACTAGCGTCCAGCAAGCCCTCTGTCTCTGAGGAACGGGGATTCTTGAAAGGAAAGGGCTCCTATGAAAGAAAATTGGTTAAAGGTCTGGCCTGAACTGGCCAGCTCCCCAAATTCTGGTAGCATAGCCCCTACCCCACCCCACCCCCACCCCAGGTTAACTCCAGCTTAGTCTAAAGTGGGGGCACTATCCTAGAAGTCTCCTTTCTACCCAGATACACATAGACCAAATCCAAACCAAGTCCAAGAACCATAGGATTCTAGAAGAAAGTCAAAGGTGACATAAGGGTGATGTTATTTATGGCGCACTAAAAACCATGATGCTCTCTCAAAATGCCTCTCCTAAGACACCATGTCTTAATTGCCCGTCGCCTATATCCATAGCTTTAAAATGCATGTGCTCTTGAGTGAGATTATCAGCAGGCAGCAGAGCAAAGGCTCAGACAGTAGGACCATCTTGGTGGCACAGGGTGGTGCTGAGAAAGGGGCACAAGACTAGGAAGGAGGGAACTGGATATAAATTCCGTCACATCATGTATTTGACTAGATTGGCCCCTGACCAGCATACAGCAACCCTGTCCTGGGGCCAACTCCCCTCTCTTCTGAACATTAGCATCCTTTGACCCAAGTCAAGTGGGGACAAACACCCCCGGAGAAGGATGCCAGAGCATGAAGCTCAGCAACACCCACCCCCATCACGAGTGCTTTTCTGAAATTTGGCCCAAGATGCTCATGTTGCCTTATTTCTTTTTCTGGATACAATTCCAGAGATTCAGCTGAATAACAGAGAGAGAGAGAGAGAGAGAGGACTTCCAGTTTTTGTCAGTTTACACCTTCCCATGTCTCTCATCACCCCACTTCCCCTGCTGCCCCATTCATTCTTATTCACTCACTCAGTTGGTTGTTTACATTTGGAGAGGGGGAACGGGGAGAATACTTCCTTTTTGCTAACAATGCCTTGACTATTTCTGAAAGGATGAGCAACCTGCTTCCCTAGGTGACTATTTTCTCCCCAATCCACCCTGTCTCACCTTGAAGCCTGTGGGACACCAGTCTACAAACTGGATGGTCCTCTTGGTCTTGATGGCAGCAATCGCGACATTAACATCCTTGGGCACCACGTCCCCCCGGTAGAGCATGCAGCAGGCCATGTACTTGCCATGTCTCGGGTCACACTTCACCATCTGACTGTTGGGATCAAAGCAGGAGCTGGTGATCTCGGCCACAGAGAGCTGTTCGTGGTAGGCTTTCTCGGCAGAGATGATGGGTGCATAGGTGACCAGGGGAAAGTGGATGCGGGGGTAGGGCACCAAGTTGGTCTGGAACTCGGTGAGGTCCACATTCAGGGCCCCGTCGAAGCGGAGCGAGGCAGTGATGGAGGACACGATCTGGCTGATGAGGCGGTTGAGGTTGGTGTAGGTAGGGCGCTCGATGTCTAGGTTCCGGCGGCAGATATCATAGATGGCCTCGTTGTCCACCATGAACGCACAATCGGAATGTTCCAGCGTGGTGTGAGTGGTCAGGATGGAGTTGTAGGGCTCCACCACCGCAGTGGACACCTGAGGGGCTGGGTAGATGGCAAACTCTAGCTTGGACTTCTTGCCGTAATCCAGGGAGAGGCGTTCCATCAGCAAAGAAGTGAAGCCCGAGCCAGTGCCCCCACCAAAACTGTGGAAGATCAGGAAGCCCTGCAAGCCAGAGCAGGCATCCGTCTGGGGAAAGGAGACCAGAAAAAGACAACTTGAAGACAAAGGAGCTTCTGGGAACAGCCCCATGGAGACAAAGCCACACAACCCCTTCTATCTGCCTTACTATATACTTCAACGTTTGACGTGGTTAATATCAACACAGCCTTGAAGAAATAAGGAAACACAGACAGATCTGTACTGGTGTTGGGGGAACTGGCTAAACATAGGGTCATAATGACACACCAATACTTGCACATGTCATGAAACAAATACATGCATGTATGCATGTAGGTACATGAAGGTTTCAGTGTGATGGCTTGTATCACCAAGAATGTGAGTTTCCTATCAACGGTGCCTTTGTCCCTTGAGACCCCCAACTCCTGTACCATTCTCCTTCCCTTTAAGGAACC